ATTTTAACTATTATGTTTTTCAAGCATACAAGAGCTACTGTCATTAACATACAGACAGGCTGAGCTGCCGACCAAGGGAAATGCAACCGCCTACTTCTGCAGAGCCTGTGTACTAAAGCATCTAGTCAATGTGTTGAATAAAAACAATAAATTAGCGTTGGGATGTCACTCTTTGGTTCTTCTGCTTCGCGCTGTGATGATTGTAGTCAGGTTTGTGCTTTTCATCATAATTTATGCTTGGGCTTAAAGGTAAATCTCTCTTAAGATGGTGCTAGTGTATCTCAATCCAATAATCTAACATTAAATAAAGCGGTCTGAAGCTACCACGGGGCAAAAAATTGCCAGTGGCTTAGAAAGCTCTTAAACAGTCATTCTTCGGATCAATCCTAGAACTCATTTTTTTATTTTGGCCCCTGATTTTAGCCTGTCTATTTCAAACAACGCTCTATAATGGGTATTTCCACAGGGCACAACTTTTCATAGGCGTCAAACTTTTGCCTCGCTGCACTCCTCTAAGAGATTTCATCCCACATATCGACAATTAGTTATATTATGCAGTCAAGGAAAAAAAGCTAAGCTGTTTTTGTCTTAATTTGTCTACCAGTGTCACATCATCAGGAGTGCTTGTGCATTTTCATTGGTCCATGCGGTCGCCCAATCAGCGTTGAGGTAGTTCAAGTGTGAGCGGTGTTTGCTCACTCGGTGCTGCGTGCTGACTGGATGAGCTGCACTCCACTCCTCACTATAATTGACAAGTTGATAGTGAGGCGGTGAAGACAAGAAGCGCATTCAGAGGGATGTCGGTCCTACTGCTGCTCCTCCTTCTCCAACTTGCAATTCCACCCAGCCTGGCAACCTCGGCGATGGATGAAGCCCTGTCCGTGGAAAAGAGGGATCCACCGACTATTCCAGTCTTCCTTCAGCAAACCTACAAAACCGTCTCTGAAATAGGCCTCGACTGGGAGACTTATCCCTATGATCACGAGTTCACAAAGCGAATGTTTATTGAGGGTGCACCGTCAAGAAAAGAAGTTGGAATTGTGGTATCCCTGTCCCTGGCTTTCATACTACTCCGGCACTTCAGTGAACCGAGGCTCAGAGTAGGTTGGAATCCTCCAAAGTGGTATTTTTGTGTGCATTTAATGCGCATTTGCTTAAGCATAACTAAAGAAGTGTGTTTAAATCAAAACGGTGCTAGTCACTTCCAAAGTAAGAACGCAATGGGTAATTGTGGAGGTACTTGCAGCACTTTTTATGGAATGACTGTTAAAGTTAAGTTTTCTTCTCTTATGACATTTGGGTCTCAAGGTGAGCTGTAAAACATGAAGAAAATTTTTTTTATCGCTTATCTGTGCTTGATGAAACGAGGGTAGAGGAAAGTGCAAACCCATCAGAAATGAGTTCTCACGCTACTTATGGCTTCCATACACAATCATGGGAAAGTTATGACTTCAGCTGACTATTCCAACTGTAAATTTTTTGGGTCATGCTCTTTAGGATGTAGTACCTGTGGATGTACTTTGGTAGGTAAATTGGTTTCGTTCTATGAGTCATTTGCACTTCCTTGTTGTTGTGTCTGGCATTCCCTCGCCCCGGTGAAAAGGGTCAAACCATGGTTAAGGGCGAAGAAACACTCAACTCAGAAAATGGCGGGGATTTAATACATTAAAGCGGAATTCTCGTCAAGACTTTCATAATCGCAGTCATTAGCCGACGTAACTTATTGATGAACTTGCCACTGGCGTGAGAAGGAAAGGATGGGAGTACCTTTTTCAAAATGCTCTGCTTTCAAAATTTATTCAGTTTGTTCGATGAAATACGTGCTAAACATGAAGGATTTTGCATTTCATGACTAGGAAGTTGTGCTTCGAGGCTTGATGGGGTGGATGATGTGCCTTAGGATCAATGACCTTCCGTCGAAAATACCCCTTTCAGTTCGAAATCTCGTTCGTAATGTCAAGTATCTGCAAACATTAAGAAATTAATTCCTCAAAATGTCAACTTCTTACAGTTTTACCTTATCCACCTTTTCAATTTGAAAGGAAAAATCGAATGTTGGGAAAGTTGACTAGCGAGCATGGATTTATGTCTCGGTCCCCACATTCTCCATGAAATTGGAAGGTTTGACAAGATTGCCCCATAAATATTCATGCAAAAGTCCTGTAGATGTCCTTCTTTTCTCCTCTCCTTGTCAAATGACCACGAGAAATGATGCCCCATGTCATTTATGCCCCAACTGTTCAAACCCGAGACTTTAGCAGGCTTGTAGAAATACGAACGGCGACTGCACATTTAAAAGGCGGAACTGGTAGTTCATGACATCCTGTTAACGGATTTCGTGATCGTTCTCCACATTTGCACTGAAGACTTAGTGTTAAAGTACGGAAGGAGTGAAATCTCAGGCTAAGGTATTCACCGCGGGCACGGAGAAGTACCTGCAGTTTACCAAAAAAGGGTGACTTTTACGCACCTGAAATTAGGGCTCTACACTGTAAAGGCGGGAAAGGTGTAAGCACTTCCTTTTGTCGGATGAGATATGGAAGCCACTAAATGTATCTCTACTCTTCATTAAATATGCCCGGAAAAGGCAGCAAAAGCGGTCAAATAGACCATATTTCATCCAGGCAACTTTCTCCTACCATTTTTCTTCACCCATCAGTTTCACACGCCGCCTACGTCTCCTCTTGCTTCTGCGTCATCTGTAGCCAGTGACACCGTTGACTCCCTTGGCACTCTTTTCTGCATTCGAGTAACTCCATTGCTAGAGTAGAGCTATTGCAACACTAACATCAACGAATGGGGTGGAAAAGTGTGCAGACCAGAAAGCCCCTCAGTCTAGAAGCAAGCATGTCAACAGGGAGTCGGCCATCAGCCTCCTCTACTGCGGATGTCAGTAACTGGTCACCATTAAAAAGCGAACGAGATCGTCCAGAAATAAAACACCTTTGCCTAACTGCTTTGCAAGGAATTTGTGCCCCACTCACACCTCACATAAGACAAATTTCTATCATACATTTGGGGGTTTAGCAGTGCATGATTTCCACCTTCTTGGTCATAAGTAAAATAAGGACACTGGCATCGACATCAGACCCACAACAGGTGTCGCAATGGTAGTACCATATCCATGATGCTATTTTCGCCAGGTTTAGACGAAATGATCACTCCGCCTGTCTTATTAGATGCCACTTGGTCACGTGGACAACGAGAGTCAAGAGGACAGATGCTGATTGGTGGATTTGAAGTGTGCTGCAGTGGTTACAGTTCCATGTTGAGGGGCAGTGACCCCCACAGAGGAGCATTTACGGATGAGATGCATATTACGCTTACCAGTCTGATGTCTCCTCTGTTCACACACAGTCTGCCTGTCATTTGGTATTCAAGGGTCAACGGTTAGTGATAAGTGACTAGTAGCGATTAGAAGTTAGAAGCCAAAACTTATGCACCTTCATTACCTCACGTCATGACAACACCAATTCCTTCCACTTCGAGGCGACTGCGACAGGTAGCCAAGTGAAGCAGACATCCTCCAGTTTGCAAAATCAGAGGCCGAAAAGGCAGAATAAGAAGTAAAAGGAGAGGATGAAGAAGAATAGGAAGGACACTTAGTCCTTGTGTTACGGGTCACTGCTACACTTCTACACCAATCTCAGCTCACCCTTTGATATCAGCGTGACTAAGATATGCCAGAAATGACCAAAGGTTACTCTTTAGAAGTACTAATTTACATCTTGTGCCAACTTCCTTATTCCTTCGATGTCCATACTACGCGATTACATCTACCACTCCTACACACTGATGGTTATGTTATTTCTTCACATTAGAGGTAGTGTATCAGTAATCCGCCTCACACTTGATGAAGCAACATCTCACACGTTGTTTATGCATGTTCACAGATTCAGCTGTCAGGGCTGTCCACTGACAACACAACTACCGCCACCGTCGTTATCGCTGACAAGTGCACAAACACACATACTGATATTGGCACGGATGGCTAGACATGTAGACGAACAGATGTGCAGACACATTGCCACCATTCGAATGTCTCCATGCTGCGTGGCTCAGAGTCACCACCTTCAGCCTATGGGGATCTAGGATAACCTCTACACGACAACACCTTCGTGCAGGACTTTAGTTTCCCTAACATAAAAGAATTCATTGTTACATGGTGTATAACATGCACAAACACCCCATTCTAAACTGTCAGCGTGATCAACGGTGCTTGGGGCGTTCTGCACCTCACCATACTGGAGTAGGTCCAACTGAGCTCATGCACACATGACACGGTATTTGCCCCTACCATTAGTGGTACTGAGGAGACACTTGGCCTACATCAGTGTGGGGAACCACCACATTAGCACGCATATTATGAAAGATACGAAATTGTCTGTCTCTCACTTCACGAATTTCAACTCTACTTACCATCCACAAACACCACTTACCTCTATTTTTGCCGTAGTTACGTAGAGGATGTAATGTCTACCTCATTTCTCGTCCTACCAGCGTAAACAAATCACTTGTGCCTCAATGCGCCAATAACATATAAGGAGTGGGACAGAGAAGTGGCAATCAGACCGTCACCCCTGGTTGCATGAATCCATGACTACGGAAATGAGCGCCTGTCCGAAGAAGACAGTAACATGGGCCATGCTCTGAACCCTGTTTGCTGTGAAAGGCGGTTTGTATAAAGTATTGCGCTACTCTAACTCCACCAGTGGTGGTTGCAAGATCAGACTGAATGAGTAAACAAAAAAAAGAGGCCAAGAGTTTGGAGAATAAACGAAGAAATGTGGAATGCTCCTTATTTTCTAATAGTTCTTTGAATCCAGGATGAAGTGACAACCATGGTCATGTTTTTTTTCCACAGCTAAAGAATATCTCATTGCAGTTGACTCCTTGTAGGAACTAATCACTGCTCCATTTCACTTTTCATATATAGAATAGATGGTAATTTCTAACCATCTTTTGTGCTTCCAGAAGTATTTGGCTGGTTTTACTCGGAAAGGTTGTGTACTGCATGGCAGAAGGACTGCGAAACCCTGCAGATGTTAAGTATCCATTCCCATGAATAAGAATGAAAGAAAATTGTTGGATATCTATTCTACCTCGAATTCAAAAGAATTTCCCTCCCGTCGACATACTCATCCACTTTCTACGTAAACCGAAAAGTTGTAGCAGCAGAGAATGCTGGTATAAGCCTATAAATCTAATTCTAGTGGGCAACTTTGTCATGTTCAGGGGTGAAGAGCGAAGAAGTAACTTTGAAGCCTCAAGTGCCCACTCAGTCGAAGCAAACTTGTCGGCGTGGTGAGTGAGTAGGAGCCTAAGAGGCGTCATATTTCCCGAGTAGAATGACATGCACATTCGTCAATTAATGTGACATAAATGCCAAACTTGATAGCCTCTTTTGATATTCTGGGATTCCTTTCCATCTGAGTTCATTTTAACCGTTTCTTTTTGTTTGTTATTAGGAAGAGCGATAAGAAGCAGGACGGTAGTGGAAGGCAATTAGATAATTCGAGCCTCTTGGTGTTTCATCAAAATTCTGAGGAGTTCATTTCTCTGGCTTCTCTTGCGATTTATTGCCAGCACTCAAGACTTGAGTAGTCAAAAAAGGATGGACAAAATAAATATTTTTGGACTCCTAGTTCCTGTTTACAGCAGGAATATCAAGCACTTTTGGTGATCTATCGTTGATTTTGGAGACTACAAATGAGGATTCGTGGTAATGGTTATACAAGCAGTTGTACTAGGCAGAGTCTACTTAAACAGTTTCAGCGGCTTTCCCTACGGCTGTGTCATCGCAAAATTGAGGTAATCGTCTGCGTGTCGAAGGAGTTTGAATCACCATTTATCTAAGCTATTCCTTTTTAGAAACTTCTACAATGGGCAGAGTTTCGACCAAAAGATGCTGAAAAGGCGCCAGAAGGTATCTTTCGATCCGTCTACTACTGCATCATCACCGTCTATGGAGCCTACGTCTCCTACTTTAGTGGGCGTTA